GTGGCATTTAGGGTGGGAATTGATGATCCCAGCGGGATTTTCCAGCCGAAATTCTGGGATTTTGGGATCTGCATCCCTTCCCCAGGCATTCCCACCTTCCTTCACTCACCCTGCATCCCTGGCTGCCCTCTCGGGCTGGCTCCTGCCCCGAGGGAGGRGAAGGAAACCCTCCCGCAGCTCCGCTGGAGCCTCCCCTGCCAGAGGAAATGCAAATGGGGATAAATAATGAATCAGCCTTTGCCTTGGCGGCGGCGTGTCGGTTCCTTTGCTGCAGCAGAGCGGCAGAAATCAGAGCAGAAATTCTGTGTACAGCAGAGCAGGAGGAGAAATAGGAACAGAAATTCTGTGTGCAATGTAGCAGGAGCAGAAATTTGAGCAGAAATTCTGTGTACAGCATGGCAGGAGCAGAAATTTGAGCAGAAATTCTGTGTACAGCAGGGCAGGAGCAGAAATTTGGGCAGAAATTCTGTGTACAGCAGAGCAGGAGCAGAAATAGGAACAGAAATATGGCAGAAATTCTGTGTACAGCAGGGCACGAGCAGAAACTGGAGCAGAAATTCTGTGTACAATGGAGGAGGAGAATAAATAGGATCAAAAATTCTGTGTACAACAGAGCAGGAGGAGAAATTGGAACAGAAATTCTGTGTACAGTGTAGCAGGAGCAGAAATAGGAACAGAAATTGAGCAGAAATTCTGTGTACAGCAGAGCAGGAGGAGAAATTGGTGCAGAAATTCTGCGTGCAGCAGATTAGGAGCAGAAATTCTGTGTGCAATGTAGCAGGAGCAGAAATTGAGCAGAAATTCTGTGTACAGCAAAGCAGGAGGAGAAATGGGAGCAGAAATTCTGTGTACAGCAGGGCAAGAAGAGAAGCAGGAGCAGGAGGAGAAATTGGTGCAGAAAATCTGCGTACAGCAGATTAGGAGGAGAAATTCTATGTATAATGTAGCAGGAGCAGAAATTGGGGCAGAAATTCTGTGTACAGCAGAGCAGGAGGAGAAATAGGAGCAGAAATTCTGTGTACAATGGAGCGAGAGAAGAAATAGGATCAAAAATTCTGTGTACAGCAGAGCAGAAGGAGAAATTTGAGCAGAAGTTCTGTGTACAATGGAGCAGCAGGAGAAATTTGAGCAGAAATTCTGTGTGCAGCAGATTAGGAGCAGAAATTCTGTGTGCAGTGTAGCAGGAGCAGAAATTCTGTGTACAGCAGAGCAGGACCAGAAATAGGAGCAGAAATACGATCAAAAATTCTGTGTACAGCAGAGCAGGAGGAGAAATTGGAGCAGAAATTCTGTGTACAATGGAGCAAGAGAATAAATAGGATCAAAAATTCTGTGTACAGCAGAGCAGGAGGAGAAATTGGAGCAGAAATTCTGTATAGTGTAGCAGGAGGAGAAATTTGAGCAGAAATTCTCTGTACAGCAGGGCACGAGCAGAAATAGGAGCAGAAATTCTGTGTACCAGTAGACCAAGAAGAGAAGCAGGAGCAGAAATTCTGTGTACAATGTACCAGAAGGATAAATCGGAGCAGAAATTTTGTGTACAGCAGGGCACGAGC